GAGAGAGAGAGACCTTTTGGTTGGGCTAACAGGTCGCTGATTGCCGGGGGAATGGGAATTCCTGGAAGCGCGGCCTCCCAATATGCCGTCTGTGTCTGCATGTTTGTCAGCGTCATCTTGGCCGCATCGGCAAAACTAGCATGCTGGTTATCCTTTCCTCCGACAATCTGCATGCAACATAACAAATAACAGTATGATTGTCATTACGCTCGACTTACAAATCCGCACTTACTACATATATAGGGACGGCCATTCGTACGTCCATGTGATGCACGCACCAAAATCAATGAGACGAGTGGTGTATGTATGCACTCACGAGCAGTTTTAACATGCTCCCTCTTACCCCCTCTTTTCACATTGGAGGTAAGAGTATATAATAAATCTAAGCCCTTAATCTCATCAATTAGTGGTCTGATTAACTCTTACCTTCTTACCTCGTATGAAAAAAGAAAGGGTAAAAGGGAGCATGTTAAAATTTGCCATGCACTCACCAAAATCAATGAGACGAGTAGCAGAAACAAATCCATATTCGTGGGTTGCTTTGTGTGGCAGTGCTGGTAGGAATGGTGACTCAAATCAGTTCATCGGATGCCCTATTTATAGTCCAGATGCGGTTGTTATTTGCAGAAATTATTGCTTAACAAGTACGTACATCACGTGACCTATTTATAGTCCTGATGCGGTAGCTAGTTGCACAAATTATTGCCAGACAAGTACATGAACAGATGAATTCAAAATTCATGAAAGGCACAAGCTGGCCTACAGATATGAATCAAATGTCACCGTATCAATCTGACCAGTGACCACCCAACCACTGACATAAGCTCTTATAGTTGAAAACTACACCACGCGTTTCTCGTGCTTCTTTTTTTTACTGCATGTTGCAGTCCACTGTTCCTAATGTACTATACTGGATGTTTATATAATAATTGTTTGTTAACATTTTATCGGGATAAAAAACTAGCATTTTTTGAACCAGGGTAAAACAAGCATAATTCCAGAGTCTTGAGTGGTACAAGCTGGCCCCACGGACCCGGGGGGACAAGATATGTGGATCAAATTATCAGGAAAAAACACTATGCCCCTGTGTCGCCCTTGGGCGACTCGGGAGGTGCCTCCATGCTGCCGCCACCAGCTTCCTCAAGTTCGTGCCTCATCCCCTTGCTGCCGCCAGTGTTTCTTAGACAAAGCCCGCTTGGTCGGTGGCAGCGAGGTCCTTGCTCCTGGGCGGTTGTTGAAAGTTCCTAGGCACGGGTTGGCGGGTGATGTATGGCATCAAGGCTCTACGATCTCCCTTGCGGATCAATGCGTGCTCTTCCACTGCGTCAGACTCAACTTTCACTGTGAAACATAGCATCTTGTTCGACAAACGTGTGTCATGCTATATTGGAGGTTCGACGATCGTGTGTGTGGCTACCAATATCGATTGGTTCGGTATAGTTGGTTGCATGACTCAGGGCATGATAGATTTGTAGTTTGGTGGGTGCGGCCTTAGGTGTGACGCGGGTTTGATGGCTTCCTAGTGGCCGTGGTCCTGGTAGTAGGAGGGAGATTTCCAGCCCAAACTTCTACCAGGGCCAATCCCTTTGATTGTCACCAGCGGCGGCAAAGGGGCATTCATCTTTGGAGTTGGTCGGACGGGAGCTCTAAAGCAAGAGGTGAATTTATCAGAGATCCGCCAATGTCGAAGGGTTGCAATGAAGGCCATTCGTGGCTATCCCCGGAGGATACCGTGGTGGCTTTTGCAGCGCTATATGGTGCACCTCCTTCAAGATGGTGACAGGAACACCATGTCATATCCGAGATGAAAATCCGCATTTCGACCTTTCTTGGTCAGAGCCAGTAGCGATGAACTTCTATCATTACCTTGGTAAAGGCATTGTCTATGTGTCCATGCTCTAGCCTTGATGTAATGATATTGAGGATGAAAATTTTTATCCAGTTCGTCTTTGGCAGGATGCCATGGCCTCGGTGCAAGTGTGTTCTCCCTTCTTGAAGGTGTTGTCGTGGAAAAGGTCGACTTAGTTGTGGGTATCTTTTTTACTGGTTCTCAATTTTTTTCTATATTATGTCTTTGCATGTTGATGACTTTGACCAGGTTGGCTTGTATCAAATTCAACAATATTATGTTCACTACTAAAGAGCTAAAAAGCACTGGCCCGCCAAATTAATCATGTCATTACTGACACAACACCTATCGGAAATATGCCTCAGAAGCAATAGTAAATGTTATCATTTATTTCCGTATTCGTAATTAACCATTATATTTATGTTCTATGCAATGGTTCTCAAGTCTGCATATAAATGAGATTCCAAGGAGAAAGTCATTTGCCAGTGAGGAATAATAAACGCCAAATAGATCATTAGTCTTGCCTCTAAGCTTAGCTCATTTAATGTTGATGATCCTGTTTTCTTGATCATGGGCATTGTTCAAGTAACAAGGATGTCGGCAATAATGCAAACATATTGTTGGCAGAACAATAGTGTTGGATAGACTCAAATTATGGTATACCGCAAGATTCGTCGTCAACTTTGTTGTCTTAGCATAATATGTTAATGTATACTCATGTTAGACCATGAGAATATCGTAGGACTTTCATATCAGATGGTTACTATGGGTTATCAAATGTTACTCGTAATAGGATAGCTATAACATTGTTTACGTTCAAGAATCAACTTTGGACTATGGGGTATCCTTAGTAGCATGGTTAGAAATTAGTTATGGTGTGTACGACAGCCTTATGTAGAAGGTCTCCGTACACTCACAAAGTGATGTAGTGATGTTTTTTAAAAAGGTCCAGCCGCCTCGTGGGAGCGCGATATGGGAGAATCATCGAGAGAAGTGCCCGGGGCACGGGGTACTTGGAGTGCGTCCATTTCTAGAGTCTCACGACTCTCGTCTATTCCGAGCCTTACTATGTCTTTCTAACTCCAAGCTCTCGGCCGTTTGTCCTTCTGGAAGGGCTTGAAAGAGGAGAGTGACCCTCCACATGACTATATTCAAGTGAGAGT